CTTAACCCCTCAATCAATAGACCCATTTTCACAAAAACGTATTTTCACAGCACGCAAGGTGATGAATATTTCTTTCAATATAAAACACTTTAGTCTGTTGATCTGTATCGCTTTATATGCATGAGTAACCGTATGATTTGTAATCGCGATTAAAGTTTGATTTATTATCGAACAATTTGTTCGGGAACACTTTCGAATTGTGTGTTTAGAAATTATTTGTGGTAGTTTTCATACGTCAATAGGTTATAATAACACAATCAAGCAATAAGCTTAAAATTGATCTCTACATTAGAGGATTTGCCATAATTTTAAGTCGAGCCGGCCTCACAGAAAACTGACGTGAAACAACACTAGCGTTTTGTTTCGTCGTGTGAGTAAGGTTACTGGAGGCCCAATTACCTCCGTCCCCAATCTCCCAAATCCCCTTATTCCCAATAATCCTCAAATTCCTAATCCCCAAAAAGGCCCGTAAAGCACTTGTAACGCCTCTGGTGTTTCGCGTGTCCATGGACGACGCCGATTGCCTACCATCAGGTAATCCGTCAGATCGTTCACCAGTTTATTCTTTAAATAAATGAAAATCTTCTCGCTTGACAGATTGGTTGAAGATTGAAGTGTAAAGCCCGGTCAGTCAAATGTATAGTAGCTCCTTAATCGGTTTTTATTGACACGCCCGATTGGTATGAAGGTAACAAATGCTAGAATGCATATTAAGCTTTCGTTATCTCACAACTACATAAGCATTTCATGCAATTAATTCTAAAGAACTTCAACATAATGCTGTTACTATACACTACACTAGCAAAAATTCAGATAAGTACCACTACTTCTACACAAAACATGTTCAATTTTATTATTAGAAGCTTTTTGATCTTTAACCTCGGCATTGTTCTCGGCACAGCTGGTACGCTTTGCAAGTCAACAATGTATGTTAAAATATACACATACCTACATACAATAGATTACTTATCGATTTTGTGTCGATATTGTAATCGGACTGATGTGATGATGTGAATGAAGCGAGGCGATAGAAGATTATTCGTAGCGTTGAAATATTTATGATGGTTCAGATAGTGGTTTGTGATTGAATATAGGTAAATTAGATTGGATTCTACATTGCATTCCTGGATAGAGAAAGGTATTTTGAAAGTACTTGTACTTGTATAGAATTTGCTTTAATGTTCTTGGGTGGAAGTTTTGTGATCAAGTTAACTTATTTGAATAAAACTTAGTAAGATGTGTTTTTAAGTGTGGGAGAGCCATGCTTCGGCACGAATGGGCCGGCTCGACCGGAGTGATACCACGGCCTCGCAGAAAACCGACGTGAAGCAATGCTTGCGTTGTGTTTCGTTGTGTGAGTGAGGTTACCGGAGGCCCAATTACTCTCCCTTTCCCCAATCTCCCCAATCTCCCCAATCCCTGAATCCCCAAAGATCCTCAAACTCCTAATCCCCAAATTCGCCTCAAATCCTCAAAGCCGGTAACGCAATTGTAACGCCACTGGTGTTCCAGGTGTCCATGGGCGACGCCGATTGCTTACATCAGGTGATCCGCCTGCTCGTGTACCGGCTTATGCCATAAAAAAGAGAAGAAAAGATGTCTGAGTCTGTCTCCAGACGGGTGTCTTCAACGCCCGAGTGAACAGGTTGCTTATGAGCGCTTATGTGTTCTCCATCGTAGGCAACATCATTGCTTACCACCAGGTGCAATAGGGGCCAAATGTCAGCCCATCAAATATTAAAAAAACATGTACCAGAATCTTTGAAAAAAGTCTACAAAACGTTTATAATATTTTTCCATTCCATTTTGTACCTAGCATGCATTAACGATCGTATTTTCAACCCCTTTGCAAACCTCGGTGATAGATTACAGTTAAACCACGACCGACGTATCGGGGTTAATGAGACCGTAGTACTTTGTTTCGTTCTGTCGCTGAAAATGTACAGAACTTTCTACTTACGAAATTAATCTAAATGTTAGTCGTTGGTTTTTTATTTGGTTGAGGGCTGAAAGGCTAGGTAAAGGAGAACGATAGAAGAAAGATCTGTCAGTTATAATAATATTATTTATAGCAAGTCAATAAATGCGTTTTGGTGGTTGACTTGTACACTCTCATCTTAATCATTGTTAGCCGTTTTTGAGGACTCTTTCTGATTAAAAACAACCATGTTCTAACTTCTGCTTCGAGCCGGAGCTCCGGCAACCTAGGTCTTCACCAGTTCCTGTCTATGGTGGTTTGATGGCTCTCTGAGGTTCGCTCTATGATTGTAATTGACGGTTCATAACGTTAAATAGTTATTTTGACTATTGTGTAGTTCATACAATTCAACATTTGCGGTTTCATAACATACGTTTTCGTAGATATAAAAATGTTTCCACGATCGGACACATCAATATTATATGAAGGAACATAATTTATCATTTCCCAAAGGCGATGCGTGCTGATACAAATCCATTAGGCCTTAATTGAATTAAAATTGGGGCTTAAGCGATTTGGGTATTCCTTGTATCTAACAGAATAACGTATTGTGTGATGTTACGTTCCTTTTTTCAATAGATTCCATGAATATAGGAATTAACACACGTATTAAATTTAATAATTGTGTTAATATGGAACGATATTGGTGATAAAAAATTAGTAGTATTCATATTTTAACACATCTCTGCATCACCCCATGGTTGACTGTTAGAGAATGCCACCCGGCATTAAGTCCGCCATCGTATGTTGTGTGAAGTAAATGAAAAATGTATTAGGTATAACCTATACCTATTTGTTGTGGAACACACGGTGGGAGAATGCCCTTCGTGGGCTGAGCACCGCCGTGTCCTCAGGGAAGTGATCGGCGATGGCGACCTCTCGCGTCCGGGCCTAGTGCAGGCCATGATGCGGAGCGAGGGGGATTGGGATGCCGTCTCCTCCTTTTGCGAAGCAGTCATGCTAGCTAAGGAGGAGGCGGGACGCGTGAGGCAGCGAAGCGCTGCCTCCTCGCAACCCAGCCATCGCGAAGGACACACCGGGCGTCGGGGATCGCGGGACGATCTCCGGCCACCGTAAGCGCGGGCCTGCGGACGGCGAGCATGGGTGGCTCCCCGTCCGACCAGAAACAGACCCGAGCGTACGGCGCGTCGCGTTCCGCGCGCGCCTCAAAGAGCCATCAGACCACCACAGATGGGGCCCAATAGGGCCGATGCCGATTCGGAGTCGCGGAGAACCTAACGGGTAACCGGGGCTCCGGCTCGACGTGCAGGAGAAGGAACGGGGTGGTTTTTAGTCAGTAAGAGTCTGACACTCCCTCCCGCCTCACCCAGGCGGGGGCAGTCATTCGATGATTTTCCCCCCTTAAAAAAAAAAAAAAAATACCTATTTGTTAAACAATTTTATTCTCAACTGACAATCATTATTTTCAATTGCTTTAAAACTAATGGCTAGCCAACGATACTTATCTTGGTACAACCGTTGGACAGAAATGGGTCACAATTATGACTAGAAGATCTGATTGGTCGTCCAATAACATAGTTTTAACCGTTGTATTGTGATTTATCGTATTTTAAACGACATTAATGCTAACCACCGGACATTGTTATATGTGTGGATAGATTGCAGATTGCGGTGTGATTATGGGCTGGGATTTTTTTTTTTAGTTTTTGTTTAAAATATAAATATATATTTGTGTGGTAGAACAGCATTCATAGGAACTTTTCTGTTAATTGCATACTCGCCAACTAGTCAAATTCAATACTTTTTTTCGTACTGTCAAAAACGACAGGTTTCTACGCATTTTGTACGGGATTGTGTATTGTGACGTCACGTTTTTTCAGCGTCAAACGGCATACTATTTCTTAAATATTTGCTGGAAAGTACTAAAATTAAGTTGGTCATAAAATCAATTAATGACCGCGAGCGCGCACGCTGCTCATGAAGAAGAACCCCTCTGTAGTTCGTAGTAGTAGAGTACTAGTAGAGCTTTTCTCGGTATATTCACATGAGTAGTACACAGTAGTAGCACGGAGTCTGGAATTGTGCCCGGTATATGGCAATAGGCTCACCCCCTATTACATGGGACTCATAACATAAATAGTGAAAAGTGGGTGTTACATTGTACAGTGGCATAATGTGCACCTCTGCCTACCCCTTCGGGGATAAAAGTCGTGATATGTTATGTTATTAGTAACCCGCGATTTTTAGTTAATTTAGAAAATACTGTTGTAAGTAATACAGAAATGTAGACATTCATGTAGACTGACGTTCTTTCTTTTTTAATTAAACTTTTTCGTTATACCTATAACAACTGCCATCTATTATGTATGTACAACATACGATTTATCTAAATGACAAATCTGCAATTACCGGTCACGTAGAATTATGTTTATACACAAGTACCTGTATACTGTTTTTACTGCAAAAATGCTTTTTATAGTTGATTTTACATGACAGTATCATGCACATAATGCTCTCCAGGTCATTAGGCGTTTATTTTACTCACGGATCTAAATTAACTAAATAATAACTATCGTGAGACATACTAAATTAACCGCGACCGCGCACGCTGCTCATGATTAAGAACCCCTCTGTGGTTCGAAACTAGTAGAGCTTTTCTCAATATGTTCACAAACCCGCGATTTTTAGTTAATTTAAATCCTTACTAATATTATAAATCGAAAAGTGAGTTTATTTGTTTGTTCCACTTTCACGCCGTAACTACTAAACCGATTGCTTTGAAATTTTGCAGACGTAAAGTTAGAAGTCTGGATTAAATAATAGGGTACCTACTTTTTATCCCGGAAAAAATTGATATTCTCGAGGGAAAACGAAATTATTGGTATAGATGGCGCTATGCGTATTGGTATATGTCACATAGGCTACATTTTATCCTTTTGTGACGCGAGCGAAGCCGCGGGTAAAAGATAGTTAACTTAATAATTTAATCTAATTATAGAGTAAAAAAGCATTATAGCATTGTCCTGTCTTAGAAAATAATCTATGTACTACTTTGTTACAGGTCTAATATGGTTCATAGTGCCGGTGTCTATGATCATCTGCAATGACGTCATGGCTTACGTGTTCGGCTTCTTCTTCGGAAAGACCCCACTCATCAAGCTGAGCCCCAAGAAGACCTGGGAGGGTTTCATCGGTGGTGGCATATCTACCGTTGTTTTTGGACTTGTGGTATGTAATATTTTGTGATATGGGTGTTAATAGTTTGCAAATATGAACTGAAATAATTAATGGTTAAAATAAAAATGTCAAATCTAACTTAGGATATTTTAGTGGGCAAATATAATTCAGAAGAAAATACAAATACTTTATTGCATTCCACAATGTTTGACTTAAGTGGTAACGTAGATACAGTTCATTCTTTATCATCGTCATTAACAGACGAATAAAACAGTTCATTGTGGACCCTGTCGGGCACAGCAAGGAAATAAATAATTTTAATACAAAAATGACAAGCATTTTACTAAGGTTTGCACAGGATATACATTTGAAAGTCAAAGTTAAAATCATTTATTTCAATTAGACCAAAAAGGCACTTTTGAACGTCAACAAAAAATTTAAAGTGAAGCTATGGTCTAAGTGAAATAAATGAATTGACTTTGACATATTTTAAAATAAGTATATTTTTTTATAGCAATTGAATAACCATGTTAGTCAGTCATTAACAAAAAACAACGGCAATTTAACCTAACCTAACCTCACCTAAAGTGACTTCTACTTAACTGTTATATATCTTATTCCCACCCCCAGATGTCGTACATGATGTCCCAGTACCCGTACTTGGTGTGCCCCATCGAGTACTCGGAGTCGCTGGGCCGCATGACGATGGACTGTGAGCCGTCGCTGCTGTTCCGGCTCCAAGAGTACACGCCACCGCAGTTCGTGCAGCCCGTTATGAAAGTTGTAAGTAACCTTTGTGTGACCTATATTTAGTCAAATTTATTCTACAATTACTACGCGGTTGGTACGGTGGCTGGGCAACCGGCTGCAACGTGTAGTGGGTTCGATTCCCGCACGGAACTACACTTTGTGTGATGCACAAATTGTTGTTCCGGGTCTGGGTGTCATGTGTATGTGAACTTGTATGTTTGTAAACGCACCCACGACACAGGAGAAAATCCTAGTGTGGGGCAACGTTTTAACAAAAAAAAAAAAAATTAACTGAAGATTGTAAAATTGGCCCTAAAACTACTTATTCTAAATGTGAACTATAAAGCACAAGTGCCTATACTTGTTTTTGGCAGCATTTTAAAGATAATATTTATAAAAAGAATTAAAAAATCACGAGTTATTCACTCAAATATACTGAGAAAAGCTCTACTAGTTTCGAGGCACAGAGGGACTGTACCTCATGAGCAGCGCGCGCAGCCTACAGCACTTCTGTTACTAACATTTAGACCTTTTCTCAGTTGTTCGTGAATAACTCGTAAGTTTTAGTAAATTATGTTTGACGATTCTTCAATACTAAAAACTGTGATTTATGTCAATTTTATTCTACAGTTAAAAATTACCCGATGATTGATAAATCGGCCCTTAGATTACTCGCACGTACCGAATACTTATCATTTGCTAAATTTGCAAGTTTGAAATTTTTTCCTTTGAAATTGTTAATTTAAAGTAATTGTACTGTTTTATGAATTCATTTGTGCTGTGTGTAACGTGTACTTTATTGTGAATGTATTAAGATTAACTTTTGCCTACTTCCAGTTCGGTATGGAGAAGTTGAACATCTACCCGTTCATGATCCACTCTCTATGCCTAAGCACGTTCAGCTCAGTCATCGGACCTTTTGGAGGATTCTTCGCTTCAGGATTTAAACGCGCGTTCAAAATCAAGGTAGGCTTGTAGAATAACAAGCTTCGTAATTCAGTAAATAAATACTGTAAATAACTATTGTGTATATAAAAATATTTTTGTTCTGTTTCCAGGCTGCCTCGTTGGCCGAGTGGTCACAAGTGCGACTGCCGGTCAAGGGGTCTCGGGTTCGATTCCCGGGTCGGGCAAAGTTTTTCTGGGTTTTAAAAAATCTCAGTAGTAGCACGGAGTCTGGAAATGTGCCCTGTATATGGCAATAGGCTCACCCCCTATTAAATGGGACTCATAACATAAATAGTGAAAAGTGGGTGTTACATTGTACAGTGGCATTAAGTGCGGTAATGTGCACCTCTGCCTACCACTTCGGGGATAAAAGGCGTGATGTTATGTTAATGTGTTTCCAGGACTTTGGTGACGTGATCCCCGGACACGGCGGCATCATGGACCGCTTCGACTGCCAGTTCCTGATGGCCACCTTCGTCAACGTCTACATCACCAGCTTCATACGTACCGCCACGCCGCAGAAACTGTTGCAGCAGGTGAGACCTTTAACTCTTGGCTCACTATTGTTTAATAATTTTTCAGGCACTTTCAGGTCAGCTTACAAAACCTGAACTGCTAATGCAGGGCAAATACCTCCCTATGCTTCTTCTACTCTTTTCTCTCTTTGCTTATTAATTGCTGTTGACTTTTACTGCATACATTTTAGCACATACCTACTCAACAATAATTTTTTATTCGAAAATCGGATAACTTCATAATACTTGCCTTTACCCGGGATGCGAATTACTCAACTAATAATACCAGTTATTATTATTAATGTCAATCAATCACGCATACTATTTCTTCGAATTGTACGCAGAAGTGTGTGTGTAATATGCACTTAATTTACTTCACTCGTATTTTGGTCCTGCAGTAAAAATGTAGTGTTATTCACGAACAACTGGAAAAGTATTTAGTTTTTTTTTTATTTCGCTGAAGGAAGGAATTTGCATGCAGATAATGTTACCCGCCCCAGTTGTTACTGAAGCATGGACTTCCGTAAAGTAACGCCTAATTTTATTCTAAATACTAGCTTCTTCCCGCGACTACGTACACGCAATCTCGAAAAAAATTTAGGGGTGGACTACCCCTAACATTTAGGGGAATGAAAAATAGATGTTGGCGGATTCTCATAGATACCGGATAAGCACAAAAAATTTCATCAAATTCGGTCAAGCCGTTTCGGAGGAGTATGGCAATGAAAACTGTGACACGAGAATTTTATATACCTTTATTGTATTAGATTCGTATATGGCATTTTTGTCTCAGGCGGTCGTAAGGACGCATCGTTCCCAAGTAAAAAAAATGTCATGACTGATAAATTACAATTTTTCTCAACAGGTATACAACCTAAAACCTGAACAACAGCTGCAACTATTCTACGCTCTGAAGGAATCGTTGGAACACAGGAATATACTAAACTTGGTACCTTAGACGGTCTGAGCTAGTACAATTACAGGTAAAATTTATGGTCACAGCCAGGCAAAGAACTTCACATTTTAGGGAAAATCGCTGCGTTTTGTACTATCAACATTTTATAGGACAAATTAATAGGTGTTATTGTCTTTGTGTTTCAGAAAGAGTTGGGGACAATTTTTCATAAAAACTAGACAATTTTTTTTAGTATCTGAATATTATGTATCAATTATGTTTCGTTAGTTAGTAGTTTATAGTAATCAATTCATAATATTAACGATTTTGTCCATAAAATTATGTTAAAAGAAATAATTATAATGATAAACGCAGCGTTCGTTCCGTGAAGTGTGAAAATGTTCTAAGGAGGAACATATCCCGCGCACCATGCAAGGAAAACAATTGTTCTAGTCTAATATTGTATTTATCATTCACTTTGATATAGAAAACTCCTAAAAACTACTCAATATAATCTGTAAGATAACATTTGCAACCAAAAACATGAAGAAAACAATAAAATTATAGAAACATTTTCCTTAAAATATATGTAGTAAGGTTCTTAATTCTTTGCATTTAGCGAAACTTAACTACCTGTAAGTACCTTATCAGAAATATAGGCAAATATTTTAAACACATCAAAATAATTGTAAACTACCAAAGAAAAATAATATCAAAGTTAATGATAGATACAAACCGTATAAAAATATATAGTGGTAATTTATTTACTCTCCCGTCAGAACATAACGGTATCCTTCGGGAAGTATAATAATATTAAAATTAAATTTAAAACTAAAACATAGTGTTTACATAGGCTATCGATAGTAACATAATATTTAAAAAAATACATCTTCCTCAAACTATACGAAAATATTGTAGTTTTGTGTACGTACGTACGTAGTTTCTAAATGACAATTCATTAGTAAATTACTCCATATTTGTCATTTAAAAATAAGCTTGGAAGAGGTCCTCTTCTTTCGGTAGCGAAAATTTAAAAAAAAATTGTCAAAATTCATTAACTCACTGACGCTCTTTCAAACTTATTTGTGTTAGATTTAGTTAAAAATCTTGGTTTTTGTTCACCATAAATCTTTTAATATAAACATGGTGAACAACTTTGAGATGTGATCATGACACAATGAAGTGAAACCTTTGGATGCATTTTATTGATTTTTCTTAATGTAAAAATCAATTGGAATCGAAATGTTCATGGTCAAACTCAGATCCTGTATGGTGAACAAAAATTACAGATTTATAAACAAAAAAAAAAAATGTGGTTCTTGTGCTAATATAAGGGCATCGTCGTGTTATTTAAAGAAAAAAAAAAACTATTAAAAGTGTCCTGTTCGCTATCCAACCACTCGAATTGATTTCATACACCTATTGTGTCTCGATAAAGGCTTGAGCAGACTGGATGCGTATGCGTGAACGTGCACGTACCACTGAGTGTTAATATACACTGCAGTGATACCTAAGCCTCACAGAAAACCGATGTGAAACAACACTTGTGTTTCGTCGTGTGAGTGAGGTTAGCGGAGGCCCAATCCCCCCCCCCGCCCCCCCCCCCTTCCTATTTCACATAAATCCAATCCCTATTTCTATTTTCTCAATGCCTAAAAGGCTGGCAATGCACTTTAAACTCCTCTAGTATTGCGAGTGTCCATGGGCGACGCCGTTTGCTTACCATCAGGGGATTCGTCTGTCCATTTGCCACTTTATGGCATAAAAGAAAATGGAATGAGACAAGACACCGTTGGCGTAACGTACACGTGCGCGCGTCGACGTACAGTCCCATACATTACAACTCAGTGGTACGTACACGTATACGCTTACGTCTGCGTACACGTCTGCTTAAGCCTTATAGGTGGAAATTATTCTACGTATTTACTTATAAATAATAATTATGTATTTTTCCTCGAATTTTTATTACTATGTAGTTTAAATGATTGCCTCATACAATTTGTATTGAATCTATTATTTTTGTTTATTGTAGTTTATTTTTAGTTTTGTTTTGTATTTGTTAGTTGGTTCGCTTAAGATGGGTGGAAGCCTGTACGCGCTTAGATTACTTGAAAACTCGTTTGATATCGATATAATTTGTTTATTACTGAATTAAATTTTAGACACCGCAGAATTACTATCAAAATTAAAGGAACAAAAGCTCAACAAAGGTTTGTGGACTACAAAATGTCCTTAAATTTTTATCTGTTTGTCTATTCTATGACTTGTGACTTGCGAAAATGACCCTGTTCCATAGTTACAATAGCAACATTAGATTATTCTTGTTTAAAATCATTTCAATGTATCTTTGACCATAACTTCCACATTTGGTGTCTACATTTAATTCAGCAGTACACAATATTATAATTATTTTTTGGATTAGACAGGGAATAATGCATTTGTATTGTATGCTTTAGACTGAAAAACGAACGACTGTTACATGTGCTAAAGACTTTTTGACACTTTCCTTTTTGGTACGTCAGCAAACAGATTAAAAATGAAAAATTATTATTATTATTACATACGCAATTCTTCTTATTATATTCAGTTGATTTTGCAGAAATACCTAAGTCTTTTTGACAGGATTTGGCAAATAAATTATTCTAGAATGTTCATAAGACATTTTTAAGTAATGAGGTACCTAATATACATTTAAGGAAAGATTTTCGGAAAGGAATGGAATGGAAAGAGATAAGGAATTAAGTGTTATCGTGAAGGCTTTAAACTCTGCATTACTGCTAACACTGCACGCTTGTCAATATACGTTGGGTATGAAATATTGTATTTAAGTAAGGGGTTTGAACTGTCGAAAATTACCCAGAGACACACAGCTAATTTAGTCCTTAAATAAACATCAATAGAGCTGATATTTGTACTGCTTATAAGTCTATCAAATGAAACCCCTTACACATTCAAAAATATATCGAAACAGATAATAAATAAAGTTGAAAATGAAAGGTTTATAGAAATTATTCAGAGTTACACATTGTTAAGTTTGGTGGTGTTTTATTGTGATTTTTACGTTACGTTAGTGTTCTCACGTTATGTCGCTTTTATTTAATGCTCGTTCGCTAGCTTATAGTGTTGTTTTTAGCATTTCTTAGTGTATTTAGGGACTATTTTCGTGGTAACTTTTGACATCAGTGACGTCATGTTTAGTAAGATGCAAATATTGATCAAATTCTTTGCCAGACTGTCTCCTGAAGAGTATAACCTGGGCGCGTTCAAGGCCCGGGTGAATAGGTTGCTTATGGGTCGACGTGCTCCATCGTAGATCGCATCATCGCTCACCACTAGGCGAGATAGTGGTCAAACGTCGGCCCATCAAATACATATATAAAAAAATATGCTGAGTTTTGACAATTTGACATTGATAAAGTTGTCTTGATACGGTAATAAGTTTTGAATAAACAGTTGGTGTTAGTGGGATTCGAACCTGGCTCTGACTCATCGTGTCAAAGAAAGCGCTGAACGGTAATCCCGCCTGGACTAATTTGTTATTTCGAAATTCTAATCAAGTATCAAGGTCTCAGCAATCGTGTCTTTTGCTGTTAACATTGAGAAAAATCTCAATCAAGAATGTAAGATTTCAGTCTAAAAAATATCCATATTTTTATTTCGCCGCAATTAGGTAAAAGTCGCCATCGCGCTATTTCTTGTCGTCAAATTGATGTCAACAAAATTATAGACAAGTTTAGTATGATTGAGAAACTAAATATTACTATATGTGTCTATTTAGGTTGTAAATTAAGTCCTGAAAATGATTATTCACTATAGGTGACGGTTATATTATCTATTATCATGAAATTCCTTGTCACTTATGTTTTTTGATTAAAATATTTTAGTCACTAATTTATTATACTAAGAAAAGATATAATTAATGAACCCGTACCGCCCCAAGTCCATAGGTTTAGTAAATTATATGCATATGTGCACATTGCTTTATTTATATTCAATCGACTCGTCAGTGGTAACATGGATTTCGACCTTAATTCTTAAGCACTAAGATCGAATGTGGATAATAAATAATAATCCAACATGATTTTTCAGACAGTAAGGTAACGCTTATCGAATACTTAAGTTGAAAGTTATTTGAATAGAACATTTTATACAGAACGATAAATAATAGACATTCACCTGTAATCCGACAAAAGCAAAATACATTTTTAATAATTTTCCAGGTCAATGTAGCCACCAAATTGCCTAAACGATAGTCGAAGTTTTTTAAGCCAAAATATGGGGTTCACACAAAATCTCAATCTCATAAGTTGACATTTCTATTCTACTCGACCAGCAGTTACACTATTTCAATACTACTAAAGGTCCCTTAATTTTTCACTCTGTAAACAAGTGTTACCACTCACGCGCCGTTCATACGTAAACTGAAGAGTACCTAAGAAAACGGACCAATCAGTGACCTTCTAATATGTTGTTATGTGAAAGCTATAAATATTATTTGCCATAGGACAAACTGCACTGTTCGTTATATGATAGTCTATGTGTTAAATGTAGAGTAAAATGCCGTTATTATAATTCCTGGAGTATTTAATATATTTTTGTGTTAGTGAAATGTATGAAATTATATGAATATTGTTGTCTCGCTCTGTAAATTAAAGAGTGCTTTCGTCAAATCTAATGAATCATTGATTGAGTAACATAACATTAGTCGAGTTTTTGCTTAACCAATCAACGGACTTCGAGATTTTTGGTGTTCTTAATAAGGCGAAGTCTGGAATTGTGTCATGTATCATTACATGAAGTTCAGTAGCGTAACTATCCTTCGAGTCACGTGGCAAATTCATCGGATTAGGCCCCCGTACCCAATAACAAACGGAGAAGTGTAGACGAAAACCTTTGAACTGGGGTCCCTTCCAGCTGGGGCCCGTGGCATTTCACTGCCTTGCCGCCCTCTAGTTACGCCACTGATGAAGTTCATAACATAAAAGGTAAAATGTAACAATTAACATGTGCGCTATAACTTCGAAACATACAATAGGTACCTGATGTTATGTCATATTAAAATAACAAATATAGAAAGAAGAAAAAGATGGGTACTATGAACATATCAAAAATAATTCATATATTTCACTGGCACAAAGGTAAAGCGTTGCTATATGTAATAGTATTAAAAGTATTGATGTTTATATTTAAGATAGCTGTGTTTATGCATCGTGCTAAATGTCTAGCGTATGTGATAATTATATGTAAACTTTCGAGTATATAATATAATAATTTGTCCAAAATAGTACATGATTGACAAGTTATGCAATATTCGTGTATTGTTCTTACTGAATATTGCGTTTATTGGTTCGATAAATAAAAAAAGGAGCGAAATTTTAAACCCTTCAAATCCAGATCATTCTTGGGTAGGGAAAAATGACTATTATGGACTAAATTATTAC